TAGTCTTTAAAAAGTACAGGGTTTCGGTGATAGACAGATGGTGGCTTTCATGATGTCAGGAAGTGTCAGATATTATCGTTGGCTGTGGAATGGTGGCTACTATCCAAACAGATTGGGAAACAGACAGAAAGAGCAAGAACACCATTTGTTTTATTTAGATACATTGTGAACAGAAGGAAGCAAGACAGAGCATACTTTTACACATCTTTTTTCCACTCCTTGTGAAAACAGTTTAGGATTTGTTATGTTATATTAGCCCTTTCATTATGCAAAAACATGTGAAAGCCAGAGATGCTGGTAAAAAGATTTGTTCCATTGTGATTTTCTATGAAGTTTGTTTATTTTTATTCTCATTTTTTTTAATCTCTTCTTGTTGGAAATACTGAAAGCTTGGAACTTCAGAGAGCTGAGACAAGGCCCTTAATGTACTCGCACTGTACTGTTGACAGTATGAAGTGAGTACTGGCCTCATGATCCGGGACGAGGGGCTTTTAGATAAGATTATCAAAGATTCAGTGTCCAAACTGAAGGACCTTCTTGGTGAAGAACCATAGATTTTCTTCTGAGAGGATTTCCTGTAATTCACATCAGCAGCTAGAGGGCAGTAGCAGCTCCAAAGATGCTGGGTTTGGTTCCAGGATTAAAGTATTCATCTAGTAGCAAACCTAGGCATTAAGGCACTGCAGCATATTAGTAGGGACTTTCTTGATCTTAAGAGAGCATGGAAAATTTTTAGCATATTAAACAGAGAAAATTTTTTTCATGTTTGCATGATGCCAGTATTCACCTATTATCATTATCTTTTACTCCATCTCATGGGAGGTAACCACATTTTAGGGATTATTGATGGAACAGAAAGTCAGTGCCATAAATTATTCTATAGCTAGGTTGCCAAATCATGGTGAATATTTTGAAAAGGTTGTCCCTAAAGCAACTTTCATATGCTGGTTATGAGATTTGAGACCTGGAAGATCATTCTAGGTTTTAGTTTCCACATTGTGTTCCAGAAAGTCCGAAAGTTTCATAGAGGCTGCTCAGGGTTGCTGCAGAGGGTGGGTGAGAGGTCGGGACTCCACTCCACTGTGTCTGCTTCTTCTAAGCAGCTGTGTAAGTGAAGTGGTTTTCCAGTCCAGGGACAAACGGGGCCTGGAATCTTGGCTTAAGAGAATAGCATTCCTTTAATAGAAAAGTGTAAAGCATTTGGCGAAGGCTAAGAGCTGGGCATGAGTGCATTTTAATTGCTAAGTTCAAACAGGAGTCAAATTCCAGAGAGAAGTTTATGATAACTCTGATAAGGTGAAAAGCACTCCCTCCACACCTCACCAGAAACTTCCAGTCATAGCTATAACCAAAGCAATCAGAGGTTTAAAGGGTTAGAAAATCCTGAAAATAGGAAATCTCAATCCCTCTCCCAGAACCCTCCAAAACTGTACAAGGCTGCAATAGCCAACCATGTATAAAGCACTCCAGGCACCTGTTTTAGATCCTAGCTAATGCACAGTCACAATACACATGCTAAATAGTAATAGTTGTCAAAATCAAAACAAAACTCTTAACTACTGAGATAAGTATTTACATAGGGAAGGGATAAACTAAGACACTTGGTGGGAAGCTGGTCCTGAGATGGGGAGGCAGGGCTTGGAGGAAACTCAAAAGCAGGGAAACAGACTCTTCATCCTAATAGCATCTCTGATAGAAGAGCTAGAGACTGAGCTTCATATAGTTTGTACAAAGTTTCGGCTTATGCAGTAAATTTTATTGCCTTAAGTAAAATTAATTATTGTTGTATCTTGGAAAGGATCTGAACTACTTGAGAAGTTAGAATTATGCTTCTCCTGAGCATGATTTTAATAGCAGCTCTGTTTAGGAGTCATGAATGGTTTAAAGAACTCTTTTAAGAAGTATAACATTAGGATACTTGCCGAAGCCATCAATTTATATCATAGAATTAAAATGCCTTCAAGTCATCTTAAATCTCACTTGGACTTTCAGGAGTGGTACACATTGAATCTATATTAAAGTGGTACATCAGAAGAGAAGACAGTCTATGTTTTTGTTTTTGTTTTGTTTTTTTTTTGTTTGTTTGTTTGTTTTTCTTTTTAATCGGTACCAGGGGTCGAACTCACCACTGCCTACTTGCAAGGCAGGTGCTTATGCCATTGAGCTAAATCCCCAGCCCTGACAATCTATGTTTTATTGCTGAAAAGTAGTTTTATTAAGTTCAAATAATGACATGAATAATTATATGTAAATTAAAATGTCACTGGCTTTAGCTGTTTCAGTTCTTAGAAAGCTGGGACTTTTCTATATAGTTTAAATTTTTATTTTTACAGAATGCAATTTGTTAATAAAAAATCCTCTCATTGAATATATTGAATGCTTGAAGCAGAACTCATTTTAAACTGTACCCATTTTATGCCCCCCCCCCCGGTTTTGACAACAAGAAGTAAACTGCTTAGTTTATAAAAGTAGGTAAAACTTGCCTCAACTGGTTTCACAACTACAATTTCCTGACTCTTTTCTTTTGTGAAGATCACATAGGTAATTTTTTATGCCACCATTTAAACTTCAATAAATTGATACATATGGGGTGGTTTAAAATAACATTTTGAAATCCATAGTCTATCATTTGTACATCTTATTGGAAATGTCTAAATCTCATACAATTTTCTGTTAACAAAAGACTATTCTTTTTGTATTGGATACACATCATATATTTGTTTTGTTGTTGTTGTTGTTTTGTTTTTTTTTTTTTTTATAATACCAGCTTGTTGTAGTCAGGGTTTTTGAGGGAAAAGACTTAATAGAGAAAACATTATTTATGGGATTATTTTATAATATTCACTCAGAGTCAAATGCAAAAGAGTGTTGGAAATCTGTCCACGCAATAGAGACCCAAACAATCCAGCCTGGATCCCACAGCAATGTCCTGCACAAATCCAGCTGAAGACTTGGAGTCCACAGCAATGTCTCATGCAAGTCTGTGTTGAGGATCTGGGTTTGAAAGGTCCAAAGGCCAGTGGCGGAAGCTAGAAAGTCTATGCCATTGGGATGAGGGATCTATGCCAGCAGGCTGAGGGATTTGCACTGGATCCAGGAAATGATGCTCAAGGTAAGGACCAGAGCAACCCCAAAAAAGAACAATAGCCATGCTCAGTGACTGTGAGGACCCGAAATCTTCTGACAATAAGAGCAGCTGAGTTCATGTCAAGAAAACTAGCGCAACAAGCTTCTCCAGAAGAATCTACAGCACACCATCTTCCCCTCCAGTTCTCCCCTGTGCTGTTGGCAACAATCCACAGGTGGGCCTTCCCAACCAGCAGCACACTGATTCAGTTCAGCCGGGTGTTTCAAATTGAACATTATAATGTTAACCCACAGCTTTTTCTTAAAGCATTTATGAAATCAATCACAAAATTTGAATCTTTTAGATAAAGGGGAAATTACAGGTGCTGGCTTTGTCATTTTAAGCTACAGGGTCTCTCCTTGAGAGAAAGATGTGAAACGTGGTATATAGAGACTAAAACCGTCCCTAAAGTTCATTCACATTATTACAATATGCAGAGACAACATGTAACTCTCAAAGGAAAAAGAAAATATATTTCTATTCTTGTCATTCAAAATAGCTAAATTGACATTTTAACACATTTCCATATGGTCTATTTCTGGTTTTGGCAGAAGTGTTTTTCTTTAATTTAGTGACATACAATTTAAAATGCTGTTGTATGTTGGAATTTTATCATTTAGTATCCTTTACTAATAAGATTGATACCAATTTTCACTTTCCTCATTGTAATTTTTCTAATGTCCGATTCTACCATGATTTTATATTTCTCTAATAGTAGGCCGATTTAAAATAATGAAAACAAGTCAATGAGGCAGTTGTTTTCTAGATAAATTTGAGTGTAGAAAAGTAAGAAAAAACATGAGATCATTTTTGGCAGTAACTAATGGTAGGACAATTATCTGCATAGAGTAGACTGTGATTAACAGCATCAGCGGTACCAGTAGGAACTACCTTCCTTCGTGCCTTTGAATCGACTCTTTCCAAACTGTGTGAAGGAAAGGTACATGTTTCAGGCTCACAGAATTACAAGTCAGTTTAGAAGAATCTGTTTTCTTAGTAACTCATAATTCTAGAATAGAATTACATTGCTACTGATTGACTTTATCTGACTTTTGTGCCCACATTTGAGTCAGTCATTTGAGTCCTGTATCCACTTTTTTCTAGCCAAATGAGAAGGGAATGCGTTGGTATTCTTTGCTTATTTCTTACTTTCAAATCCTAGATCCTAAGAGTAAAAGCTTAGAGAGCATGGCTGAGCATGGAAGGAAGTTTACTCGAGTCAACAGACTCTTAGTCTTTTTCTGCCTTACAGAAGTAACTCTATACCCTTCACTGTATATTGGCTATCAGTTTCCATCATATTCAGCTGTGTCTTTGTCTTATTACCTCTGTTTTCCTTTTTCTTTCTCATTGTGACCCTAACCCAATCTGATCCACCACGAAGCTTCACTCAAATACACGTGTACTAATACATACCAAATTTTTGTTTTAAAAAATGCATGTATAAATTATATATAATTATATATACACATATATATTGCAAAGGCTTAATATCCAAATTATTTAATTCTATCCAGTGTTTTTGCCTTATAAAAGGTCTTATGTCTGTGAACCTACCAAATATCTTTATTTGAATGCCCTACTCTGAGTCTTAAAATTTCCTCAATGATATTAACTTTGTATTAGCTGAAGTTGTATTTTAAGTATCCAGGATAAATGCCTGGTCTTTGTCTCCCAACATAAATTTTATTGAGTGGGGTAAAAGCAAATACTGATACATGCTACAAACTACAGCCAAAGTCACAGATAAGTCCTGGCTTTGAAAGTTTGTATCACCTGTGACTTAATGGGAAAGTTTGTATCACCTGTGACTTAATGGGAAAGTTTGTATCACCTGTGACTTAATGGGAACGTGTTTGCAGGCACATATTTGTTTAGCTTCATCATCAGTGGGTTACATTTTCCCCTGCAGCTTTTCGAGCCAAGTCAATCAGCGTTGTCTTGCAGAAGAGGATTATGTTCCTGTATCTTCAAGAGTCTATCAGCATTAAATGAGGTAGTTTTTTTTCTTTTAAAGTATCTTCATAACATCATCTCAAAAACGACAGATTGATTTTGACTAGTTTTCATTTCTGAAAGGAGTTGATGGCTTAATCTGAGTCCAGAAATCATTACCTTCAGTTGGTCATTAATTCCTATGAAATATCTTCTACTGTAGTAGTAATTGCTCTTATAAATTGCAAGAGGAAATATATTGATGCAAGTCTGAAGATTTCTGTTTTCTGCTATTTTGGGTATATGCACAAGGTGCTTTTAGGAACTTAATAGTCTGTATTTAGGCTTATCAAATTGCTTAATACGTGTTTTTACATGCAGCCTGGATAGTGGGTAAGATTACTGCCTTCATCACTTCTGACCCTGTGATCAAAACAACAATCAGAACCTATTTCATGTGAACCTATTCTGAAGAATATTTTACACATTTCCACTAGCCAATCTGCCTTATTACGCCATAATGTTTAAATTTCTGTTTGCTTTTTTACATACTGTAAGCTTTTCTTGTAAGAGTATTTGTTTTTATTCCCATGGAGGCAAAGCTATGTAATAAAAAGAAAATTCTCATAATCTGAATTAAAATCTACTTACTTATTTGAGGGGTAGATTTATTAGCCTGAATATCATTTGGGGGATACAAATCCTAATAATGGTTTATTTACATGAACCTATATAATGAAATTACTACATGCTTGTTTAACAGAATCTCCTATGATTGATGGCTTAAATGATCAGAATTTCTACAGATCTTTCATCAGTTTTTTTTTCATGTGTCATAATAAATAACTGAAAGCCATATGTTTAATTCATTATTGTGGTTGGCTATAGTCTTCCATATGACCCCACTTGTGATTAACAGCACATAGTAATGAGAACGCTGGACATCATATGTTCTATGAAAAAGTAAACTTGATTAAGGATTGAGAGACTGAATTAAGTTGTGTATATTTGCAGTAAGTTCTAGGCACCTGACTCTATCATTTCCATTGCGGAACTTGAGTGGTATGATGCTCTGGAGAGAGGATCTGAGGTTTTCTCATAAGTGGCTTCCATGTCTCATGAAAGTGTTTTCCCTGCATTTACACTCAAGTACAAGAGTGAACACAGTTAAATGGCCTAACACAAAGAAAAATATCAATGCCGTATAGGAAAGGAAAGTAAACCAAGTTAATCCGTCGCTTTGCTATATTTCGTCCACTATCATACTTGGGAGAAATGCATAGCCTTCTACATTGTCCGGCCATGACAAGTGTTAAAATATGTTCGAATTTAAATTTCACAGACATGTTGTTGCCTACTGCCACAAACCAGCCCTCCTGACTTACAAGCAGAATGATCCATGTGACTCTTTTCCTATAAAGTCAGCCACAAAGATGCAACAATGTGACCACTCTTCTTTTTTACCAAAAAGTACTTTATGCATTAATCTTTCTGTATTGCTTGCAGTGACTTTTAATTTTTTAATGAGTATGTGCATTGTGATTTAGAATATAATTCTGAATGATGATAATTTTGGTTTTTTCTAATTTTGGAGAAATTATGTGCACTTTTAGAAAATGTTGATGATGATTTGAAGAGCACTTGAAAAGGTTCTGGTGTGGATTGAACAAGTTTGACTTGGATCATGAATCTTCAAGCCACTTTTTTTTAATCACTTAATTTCTCTAAGATTCAGCTTCTCAGAAATCATGGAAACAGTCCCAGAGAAGTTCAAGAAGTATGAAGACCATGTGAAAATTCTTGTCATAGAATTTGGCTTCTGGGAAATGGGTAAGAATAAATACTATTGAGTTAAAGATTAAATTAATACCTATACTAAGGATAAAAAGTGGAAATTATTTTAAAAGATTAATGTTTGTACTAAGGATTAAACTTCAGTTGAATTAGTGCAAATTAAATATTGGACTTATATTTTAATTTCAAAATAAGATAAAACAAACTATAAAATCCAGAGTGTTATACCACTTATCTAATATATCCTTTATAAGTAAGTTTGTCTATTGAGAAATAGGATTTGAAGTTAACACATCTTTTAGAAGTTAAAAAAAAGTCTAAAATGAAAGATTGAATTTTTAACTTTTTTAACATTTTCCTTTGTACAGTCAATACTGTGGAAAGAAAAACTTGACTCAGTAATAATGATACGATAAGAAACACTGAGGCTATCTTGTTCTTTCTGTAAATTAGCACCATTAAAATGGCCACAAATCTTATGTAGGTTACAGCAGAAAGATAGAAAACAAGACAGTATGATAATTTGTTCTTTTAATCACTAGTTCATATACTCTTTTTAAAAAATTAAGTTTAATGATAGAACTTAAATAAACAATGATCATATTCATCATAAGGAAGTTGTATCTGCGTAAGGTATATCTTGATTCCTTTCTTTCTCTTCCAACTCCCTTTCCTTCCTTGACCCCTTATCCCCTCTTCACGAACCTTTGTTTCCATTTTATGCTTCTTTTAACATTTTTTTCTTTCCCTTCCTCCCCCCCCCCAAACTGTTCCCCTTTCTCTTTCACAATATCTATTACACACTTTGGTCCTTATTTACACTTGAGGTTTCTCATACCAGAGAAACATTTTAATTCACATGCTTTTAAATTCATTAATTTCTTTGATAAATAATTAGAATCTATTATGTGTCAGACACTGTCTAGGTTCTGAGAATGCAAAAACATAAACGGAAATTTTCATTGCACTAATAGAATTAATATCCAGTGAAAATAGAGGTGTTGAAGATATTTCACAAATTCAGTAAATTTTGTGGGAGGGAAATAATGCTATCAGTTTGAGACAAGGATTCTGAAGGAAATTCCCTATAGTCTGACACTTAAAAACTAAGTATTAGCAAGTGTGAGGGTCTCAGTGTAACAAGCATTAAAGATGTTAAAGTAACATCACTGAAACATTTTTATGAACTGTGTTTTAAAATGTAACATTAAGGCATCTTAATCAAGGAAATAATCTCATCAACTTTGTTTTTTGTTACTAAATCCAGTCTTTCTATGGTTTATTATTGAAATGCTTGTGCAGATCACACAAATAGCCAATGGAACGCAGCACCTAGGGGAGATTAAAAAGGAATTGCAAATTGTTTAACAAGTAAAAAGTAGTTTTTTAAAAATAAAATATGTAATGTAAGACAAAGAGTATCATGCTCTAGGATAGTGCTTCTCAAACTGTAAGAAACAACTAGTTTCTTTTTTCTCCTTTTTCAGTTTCTCGTAGACTGATGCTTTTATAAAACACAATAAAGATGAATGGTTTAGAAAGTAAACTTAAAAAACAGCTACACAAAACATAAATGTGTCATTTTTTATTATTAGATCAACTGACAGAAAACTGTATGTCCATGAATATAATCACGACAAATATGTAGGAAAAGAAGATCGAGTCATAAAATTATACACATTGCCATTAAATGTGTATGTGTGTGTGGTCAGTCACACTTCTGAACTTATCTCATTGCAGACCAGTTAAAAAATAGATCATCCACCGCATTACAAGAGAGTTTTGCTTTAGGAAGTTACTTACACATGACTACGATATTAATTTATTCTCTAATTCTTCACAATTTTTGTTATTATTATTATTTATTTTTCAAGTAAAGGGAAAAATTAGTTCAGCAACTGGGATTTGATTACCATGTAGAGAGGTGTGGAATTTAAAAAAGAAAACAGAAAACTTGCCTATATATCTCATCATGATCAAGAAATGTTAAAATACACCTTTCTTTGGATATGTAATAGCTTTATTGTCATTTTGTCTAACACACAACCTGTTTACTTACAAGAGCATTATACTGACATTGTTCCAGGCAACAAGAACCAATGCATTTATATTTTATTATTTTCTAGACCATAATGTTCCAGTAGTCATGTTGAATAGTCCAGTATCATTCATTTTACACTCATGTTCTGAATTCTGAGAAATGTAGCATGGCAAAATGGTGATTGAATTATTCACTTCAATTTTGCTTTTGATATTTTAGATAATAGAAAGTAAAAGGTTTTGCAAATAAACAGGCAAATGGGTATATGTAGACAATGGATGTGAAAGCATTAGCAAAAATAATGACCAGAAATAAAATTCATTAATTTAAAAATGTTATTTTTATTTTTCCAGTCTTTACTTGTTAGCATAGTTATCTTACCTCAGCATCTAATATAGGCATATGATTGTACTGAAGCTAGGATTATAGATGATCTGAGTCGATATATGAAAATGCTCCATAATCTAGGGAGAAATGGACAAGTGTATGTGACACCAGTCTGATGCATTAACCATTGAAAAATCAGTGTCCATAACAGAAGTTCAGTTTCAGGAAAGGACTCTGAATCCTCCCATATACTTTTCAAAGGAACAGACAAATATTAAGATGGAAAGACTGAGATTATCAACATATGTATTTTAGAATTTCAAAACATTTTAACAAGCTCATATCACTTTAAACAATCAGTATTCTTGAATTGGATTAACTAACTTTCAAGTTAGTCTTTTTGTGTTACGACTATTCCTTATCATTAGATTCCAGGAATAATTAACTGGTGGTACCTACCAACTAATAGTTATAGTGGAAATGTAAATAAAGTAGCTGTGACTTATTGGTTATCTATTACAGGTCTATCACTATACAACTTGTATGCAATTCAGCAAAAAACTGAGAGACTCTACATCCCTTTTATAGATGAAGAAACTAAGCTCATTTGCCTAAGATTACACAACAGATATATGGCAGGGGAGAATTGAAGCCCAGACAATTTTATTACAGCATTCTCCTGCATTAGTCTGCAATTGCCATTTTTCTAAGAACTTTTTGCTGATTTCCATATCCTTTGTCCTGGAGCCCATCTACTTGCCAACCTTCTGCCACCAAAAGACAATAAAAATATGTGACTTCTCCAGATCTCATTTCTCTGTGTTGTCTGGGCCTCTGCAAATAATCCTTCTGTTACATTATAGTATAGAATAAATGAACTAGAAGTCTCTCAACCTTTATTTTTAAATCTGAAATCTATCGGTATATATATATATATATATATATATATATTCATCATCTAGAGAACATAAAAAAATCAATGTTTTCTCGATGTTCTAGGCAAAACATTGGAGAAAATCAGTTTTAAAAATGATAGTTACGCTATTTTTTGTTTATATATTTGTATGAGCACTTGCATTCTCTATCTCCTGTTTGGCAGGCCTTGGGCATTTTAAACTAATGAATTTCTCAACCACTTAGAGAGGAGATTTAAAACAAAGTTTACTCTCAAGATGTAACTTGACACTGAGTTATACCACTTGTTTTATTCTTCCTAATGGCACAGAGTCAATCCACAGATATTTCATCTTGCAATTTTCTACTGTTATGAAAAAGCACGGTGTTAATCATTGTGATACTTTATAAACTGACCATAAACCAATGTTTATAGTCAGTTAATCATTGAATTACTTTGCCTTAGGTAATTTAATGCATTACCATAACGTAGCGATCTACTTAATATAAATTTTAAAGTGAACACAATAAAAACTGTATAGCATTAATATATTATGCATTCTAACCTGAAATTTAAAAATACAACTAAGTCTGGACAGAGTTCAGATGTTCTATAACTTTGGTTTCCTCTAGTCTTGCTGGGAAAAAGAGTGAAGAGGTAAGCAAGGGTAGCAGTAGACTATTATTCTACTGCTGATGATAACGCATCCCTTTCTCTAGGTGCTTTAGGTAAAATGGCTTTTAGTCCTTTCAGGCTACCACTTTGGAATCTATAATTACACATTTTTGAAACACTGAACCACAGTTAAGGGAAACATACACCAAGTTGAAAAAAATCAGTACGTTGTACTAATTTCAGTAAAGTGAGAAAGTGCTTCTCTTTTAAATGACCAATACATATTTTTAAAGAGATTTCGGGTTAGAGGATGTGTTGAGACAATCTTGTTTTCAGCTCGATCTGACTTTGAATCTCCACTGAAGCCAAGGCTTGCCTCAAAGTTGAGCTCCTCTTGCGTCAGCCTCCTCAGTGCTGGGATACTAGGCACAATTCACTACACCTGGCTGGTACTCTTAAAATTAATCATTTCACAATTTGACATCTCCTTTGTCTTGAAAACAACATTTATTGAGTAGCTACTATGTCTCAGGTGTAGTAAGTACTAAGTCAGCTTCTTTTTATGGTCAGTTTTAACTGTCAGTAGTGGGCCTGAGAACTTTCTTGAAATAAAATTTAGAAATCTTTTATTAACACTAAGCCTTAGTTTAAGTTTCAAAAGCAGCAGAGACATATGCAGAAATGTGGACTTTTTGTTCTCATCAATACTAAGGCTCTTACCAGTGGAAGGATCAGCACATGTACCGATGGTGTCCACACAGACAGAGGAGGTGGTAGATACAAGCCACGAGGAAAGGGTTGTTACACGTTGGAAAGCAGCTGCACACCTGAAGCTCTCTTTCCGCTTTCAGTGTGGTGAAAAATCAGTGAAATAAGTTTCTAACCATCCAGTAAAGAAACAGGCTCACTTGTAACAAAAATCCAATCAAGTTTCCTAGAGAAACATTGGTAAATTTGAGGGAAATGATCTGGGTTCCTCTCCAAATCCTGCAGCTACAGTAATTCCTTTACATTCAAAAATATTTTTATGGTATTCAGGTGATTATCGCCTTTTAGAATCACTGTTGCCAAAGAGCCTCTTAGGGTCTCTTATTTATGAATATCATGTACTTTATGAATATTTGTCATTCTATTTTGTGAACAGTGTTTAAAAATATTTTTAACACAAAGTCATGTACTTTTTTCCTTCATCAGGTGCCACCAGTGTGTGTTGAATGTTGGTGGAGTAGAATACATTGATTTGATTAAATAATTGGAAGAAAGGGTTTTTTTAGCTTTTAGTTTTGGTTTAAAAAATAGAATCTCCCCAATAAATGTAGTTATTCTAATGAAAATAAGGACACAGTTATGAAATATTTGAGCAGTCATAAAGTAGATAGAGAAGCTAAGCCAGTGTTTTCTAAACTTCCTGGACACTGGAATCACCAGGATGTCTTTTAAATTTCAAAGCCAAGCCGACACTCCACATAATTCAATGGTTTTCTAGCATGTAGCTGGGCAGGAAGATTCAGGAATGAGGACTTTTTAAAAATCTCTATGGTGACTGCACCAAGCAGGCAACTTAGGAAATCACTAAGCTAGTTTGTCACACACACAGAATGTTATTTTCAAGTATGGCTTTACTTTAAAAAAAAAAAATCTCAAATTAGATACCTTCAGGTAATAATTTTGTCCAAATGTGCGTTTTCTAATGATTATGACTATATACGTTGTATGAACGAATGTCATGCTGGCTTCTTATACTATAAAATTTCTCTCACCATATTTTCAGAAACAGACAACCAAATTGGGGTATTTGGAGATGAATGTATTAGTTTAAATAGCATGCACTGGAAAACACGCAGTCACAGTAGAATATATTTACAATAATGATAATATTCTGTTAGGCTTCAGCACTGTATTTCCCATCTGTTGGTCTTAATTGTGAGTACTTTTAGAAAATTATCATGATTACTCAGAAAAGGCAAACTTGGAAAATAAAAAAAGCCAAACAATTTTTTTCTTTGCTGTGATTTACTTTTAGTGCTTCAGTTAACAAAAGTGTACGTGGCATTGGTTACACTGGTACTACTACCAAGAGTAATCACAGCAACACTGGTTATTTATTGCCCATCTGCTCAGGTTCTTTCCATAGATTTTAACCAGTGTTCAAATTGACAGCACTAACCCTCTTTCAAATTTAAAAGTAAATGCAGATTCAAAACGACTAACCAACTTACACAACAGACCAGCAGCAAAATCGGGACAGTAAGCTGCAGTGGCCCAACTTGAAAGCATATGTTTTTGGTTTAATGTATCCTATGTCTCTACTCAAAATACCAAATTGGTTCTGACTTCATCCAAATTAACACTGATTTTTTTTTTTTTACAATGTGTCTGCCACTCTCCTGTCTCAGCAGACTATGAAGATACAGTTGTAAAGTTCTAAGAGAAATTACGCCTACCCTGCTTGTTCATAGGAAAACCAGGAGGAAGTGTGTGTGTGTGTGTGTGTGTGTGTGTGTGTGTGCAGATTTTGAGTCCAGTTTTACACATATAAAAGTGAGATAAACACAAAAACTGCACGCCAGTGGGGATTGCAACTGTGAACCTTTGGAAATTGGCTCGTTCCTGTGTTTGCCGAAACCAGTCTGGTGCTTTGTGTCACACTCCCCTGCCATATGCAGGCACACTGGCTCTTTTCCTAGGGAAAATGTTTATTTTAAAACATACCCAAAGACACTATGGGCCAACACTGGCTATCGTACCTTACAGAAGTTCTGATTTTAAGGTTGTAAAATCTAATGACTTCTTGTGTTCAAGTGATTAAAAAAAAAAAAAAAAAAAAAAAACCTCAAACTAGTTTAAGAAAACACAGCAACACCCAAGAACCAGCGGCAACAACTTCACTGAGGGAGTGCTGGGTGCTTCCGCCGCTGGAGGAGTTTCTAAAGGCCCAGTACTGCTCTGGAGCACTTTAGGATGAATGAAGGGGCAGAGTCCAGGGAAACCCCATGGGATCTGCCTGTCCCCTCATTTCTCATTTTTGTTACCATGTGTGTTCTTCTCTTTTCCTTCTGCCCCTTTGGGTACTCAGGCTGTGTGTGTGTGTTTAGGGTACAGAAAAGAGGCCGGGTGAGGGCAGCTTCAGCTTCCTGGCCAGGTCATTTCATCCTGGGGATCTGGTAAGCAGGAGCTTCCCCATCCTGATTCCCACACTTCACTTCAAATCCCCAGAGAATGCCTCCCGTTGTTGTGGCTTGGGTCCCTTCTTCTGTCCTTGACTTGTCGCTGTGCCCAGGCCTGGATTAAAGGTCTGCCTCCCCAGAGTGGAGCAAGAGCAGAGCTGAGAGTGACTGCGAGGGAGGGGAAAGAGAAAGCGTGGCTGATGGGCTAAAGTACAGACGCCAGTCACACAGACATTTGATTTCTTCCTATTATTTCCCACCTTACTTGGTAAGTGACTAACAGATCTGGCTCAAAAGTGGATGCTTTCCATACCAGTTCAAAAGTGATCACCATCAAAGCTGGTTTGTTGGAAACAGAAAGATAGCAAGTGATCAGAATGGCTGGCTGTCACTTGATCTCAAATAATGGATAAAATTATAGTGCTTGGGGTAATAATTGGTGAATCCAAGGCTACTCACTTTTACTGACATTTCAAACTCTCTGAGCCATATATGCCTGATTAGTTAAATGGGAGAGTAATAGTACCCGAGAGGTAATATTTTGCACAGACTCAATGAGATCACTTATAAAGGGTGTTAGTCAAGAGCCTGACACACAGTAAATACTCAAAACATGTTTACTAGAAGTAGAAAGTATTAACCAAGCTTCATGATAACAGCAGAAAGTTTATAGCAGTGTAACTATAAGCAACAGTTTCATCAGATGATAGAGATTACAATGAAATTGTGATACACTAACACAAGAGATGAAAATTATAATACATATACATATACACATGTTCAGTCCACTAGTTGAGAGGTGAACCACTTATCTGAAGTCTATAGAACCAGGGCATGTAGAATTTCAACAGCAGCTATTAATGACATTTTGTTTTGACGTCTCACACACCACTAGCCAGAACCTGAAACTTTGTAGTGTTTTCATTAGTCTTCTTAAATTGGGTTCCATTTCTGTGTATATTTATGCAACTTTGAATCTAGTTCCCAAAGATTTCCTTTCACAAAAACAATTTGATGATCATTTGTTTTATTTTAAAAAGTATCAAAATGTCACATTATAAAGAATATAAATGTATAGTTACATTTTATTAACTTATTACATGACTTAAAGCACTTACATA